AAACCATTTCAGGTGACTACCTCTTGAAGCTCATGGAGAGAATGCCAAGAGTGTGCAAAGCAGTAATCAGAGCAAAGGGTGGCTATTTTGAAGAAACTAGAATATAAAACATGTTTTCAGTTATTTCACCTTTTTTTGTTAAGTACATAACTCCACATGTGTTCATTCATAGTTTTGATGCCTTCAGTGAGAATCTACAATGTAAATAGTCATGAAAATAAAGAAAACGCATTGAATGAGAAGGTGTGTCCAAACTTTTGGCCTGTACTGTATGTTTTGAGATTAATGCTTTTATTAATCCTTTTGTCCTCATCTTACCTTAAGGGGAAGCAACTTTTTATCGTTTAACATAAGAAGCACCTCCTAAACAATTTCAAACTGAGTCATTCACCCATTTTAGATAGGAACTGTGCAAATCTGCAGGAAAGCCCAATCAGTCTTCTTTCAGCATTGGCAGTATAAAAACAAAATCGGGGAGTGCAGCAAAATGCCGCTTACCTACTTTTGTTTATACAGAATGTGCCTTTTTCGGGACAATGGGGGGCGTGAGCAAGTAATAAAGCGTGTAGCTCAGTGTGTGGCGTGGGAGGGAAGCCGCGGCTGGTCGGTCTTTTTGCAATTCTCTAATAAATTGGCAATTGGCAAAAGTTCCCTCTTGCTACTAGCTGCTCGCTAATTCCTGCTATCAGCTGTTTCCTGTTAGTCGACCGACAGTGGGTCGTACGTGCGGCATCATCAACAGCCCCTCCCGTGGCGGAAGGCCAAAAAGGTTCCACCAATATGTTTACCCTATGAGGTGGAAAATTGTGCACCTTGCAGGGTTTCCTCAGGTCATTAAAAAGCATTAAAAGTCAGTAAATAGATTTTGCAAAAATTAAGGCCTTAAATAGCATTAAAAAGCATTAAATTCGATGTCCGGAGGCATTCAAAAATTAAATACACTTGATGGGGAAAAAAACATTGTTATTCATGATTTATTTTGATTATATCAACATTTAATGATTTTGATCAGAAGTATAATGTGACGATTGACAGCAGAACCCTTTAATTGGTTATTGTTTACAGCTGGTGCACAAAGTCACAACACCAGATGCTTGTAATGCAGCGTGCTGTGAGGGTGCTCATGCTGTGGCGAAAGAGCGGAGGGAATATTAGCAAATGTCGGAAAAATGGGAAAATGCAAGTTTCAGCAGAAGTGGTTGGATGAGGAAATATTCAGAACCTGGCTAAAGCCCGTTGATGGTAAACCCGGAGAGGCATTTTGCAGCGTGTGCAAAAAGATCTTCAAACTTTGCACAATGGGCGTCAATGCGGTGAAATCACACATGCTGTCAGATAGTCACAAGTTGGTGATTAAAGGCAGGCAGCAGTTAACTGTGCTGAATTTCTTTGCCGTGACCAGCAACTCAATTTCTGCTGTCGCCATCACAACTGCAGCTGCTGCTGCTACCACCACCACACCTGCCACTACAGTGACCGCCTCCTGCCTTTTCAGGTTAGAGTTAGTTTTTCACATCATTCTTCAGGCTGGTTTTGTTCTTTTTGAAATGTGCAAATAAATTCTGAGACTGTAAACCGTCTTGTGAGCGGAGGTGGGTAGAGTAGCCAAATATTGTACTCAAGTAAGAGTACTGATACTTTAGAACAATATTACTCAATTAAAAGTAAAAAGTTGTCATCCAAATAATTACTTGAGTAAGAGTAAAAGAGTATTTGGTGAAAAAACTACTCAAGTACTGAGTAACTGTTGAGTAACATCTGATTTATTTGTAAAATAAGAACATGAACGTAATCAATCAAA